CCTTCTGGAAAGCATAGTAAGGCGGACTGTTGCCTAGAGACCGCCATTTCTCGTAGTGTGGGACAGCCACGACAACAACTCAAGTCAAGATGCGGATGAACGTGACATATCATATTATCATATGGAAGGGAGAGGGGGGAGTAAAGGGAGTCAACTGTTCTTTTGGTTGTGTGGGTTTAGATTTTAGATCGAAAGTCCTCGTGGTGTTGAACTAAATCACTTTCCTCTTTCGACAAAAAGTCAGATGAGTCACTTGATTTCCATTCTCATTTCCCCCCTCCAGATCGATCAACAACAACAGCCTTAGATGGCAGCCTAAGGTGTCGTGGGATCTAACCAACCCAAGTATCTATTGTTAAATAGTATTAGTGACGAGATACATGGACAAGATACTACACATGACCAACCATACCCAATTCAATAGAGAGATACGAGGATGACCACTTAATGCACCATTCGACTCCACTACAATCAGTTTATTCGCCAATGTTTGCTGGGTGCGCCAATAGGAGGCCGGACTTGTATACAACGAACTTGAAATATCCCAAGATGAGAGACAGGGTCCATCTTCACGATAAAGCTCCCAACAAGGTCGGCTCCAAAAAGTTAAAGTTATATAAGCACAATGCAAGACAGCCCCTCCCTCCACTAGAATAGAGATTTTCCCCTCCATCTTTACAGCAACTCTGCCTGCGCTGCATCTTGACCAGAACTAATCATGGCCACCGACACTCCCATTCACTTTTTTGATATTACTTCAACCCTTCCCGGTATGTCCGTCGTCCTTGACCGTATTCTCGATGGCAAGGAGCTATGTTCGTCGTCCGTAAAGGCTGACTACTGACTAACACGCTGTCCCCAGGGCCGGCAAAGGCATGGTCCGTTAATACCTTCAAGACCCGCATGGTCTTGAACTTTAAGGGCATTCCTTACACACAATCTTACATTTCCTATCCGGATATTGCTCCTTTACTTTCCCATTACGACGTTATCCCTCACGCCTCAGGGGCTCAATATACCCTCCCCGCCATTCTGCACAAGCCCTCCATCGATTCGAACGCCCACGGTGCGATGCAGGACTCCCTCGCCATCGCCACGCATATGGACCAGACCTTTCCCTCGCCACCTCTATTCCCCTCCGGCGATGCCAGTTATGCGCTCACGCTCGCGATGATCAAGCTCCTCGGTAACGTCACCGAGAAAGGCGAAGCCATTTTGATTCCTAAAGTCGCCGATCTGCTTGACCCCAGAGGCCAAGAGTACTTTGTCAGGACTCGGTCTGTGATGTTCGGAAAGCATCTGCCGGATGTATATCCCAAGGAAGAGAGCGAGGTACAGGAGATAATCAAGGCAGCGAGGGAAGAAATGGAGCCTGTGGCGCGAGTGTTAAGAGGCCGGCCTGGGAAAAAGGGGCCTTTCCTCGAGGGTGAGAATCCAGGATATGCGGATATTCTGATCGTCTCTTTCTTGGCTTGGGTCGAGAAGACCCATAACACGCTTTTCCAGGAGCTGGTGAGTATCGGGGAGGGCGAAGTGAAGGCACTCTTTGAAGCTTGTTTGCCATGGGTGGAAGGTCAAGGTGAGATTAAGGATTGGGATATCCCTAAATAGCCTGGATAGGGTTCAGCAGCAGTTAGATGGGAATTCCCGTTTCCTGAATTCAGGCATGCGCAAGTTGGTTAATCGCAGTGTTTAGTATATAACAATAGAGCAACCCCACAGATAGAACAGCAAACTTCATTCAGCGCCTTGCCTGGGAATTATAAGGATGAGTACAAATTTCCATAAAATACATCTGAAATATCCCGAGCGGGCCTTTCTACATGAAAATCAGTCAACACAATTGTACATGGAGAGTCCTGTTAAAACACCATAGAATGGGACAAACCGGCACCAAGCCAAGGCTCCCTTAAATCACAGGCCGCGGAGGAAGTTAGCCTCTCTAATGGCCTTCCTCCGCGCCTCTCTCGCGCTCTTCGTGATCTCGGAGCGTTTATCCAGACTCTCAGCGGCCTCGACCAGAAGATTATCAGTTGCTTGGCCGCCGCGGTTGTACGATGCAGGAGTGATATCAGTAGCGTGGTGGTGAACAGGAATCTTAGGAGGAAGGGTTGCAGCGCGAGCAGCCATCTTCTTCTCATAGCGCTTGCGTTGCTTCTTGTTCAGAGCTGGAAAAAGCACAGTTAGCATTGCCCAAGGGCTACTAATAGAGCAAAATAAACATACTGCTCGGATCCACTCCGCCCTCGGATTTCGATTGCTTCTTAGCATCATCTAACAACGACCACAGCCACTCTGGGTATTCAGAGTCTTCCAAGGCGACGATATCAGGCTTATTCTTGAAGTAGTTGAGGCCGTTTAGCTTCGTTCCAGCGGGACAGGAGCTGGGTGGACGTTCCACAGCAGGCTTTGTGGGCTTCTTAGAAGACACGTCAACATTTACTTCTTCCGGTGTGCTGAATGGTTGGGACACGCCAGGAGTCGCTGATGAAACTGCCGACGGGATCGTGATGTCCGCTGCTACAGGCTGGCGGGGAGTAGGGGGAGGCGGCGTAGCGGATACTGTAGGCTTGCCATCACTGTAGCTCCGGAGCTGGCTTCGGTGAATTGGAAGCTGGCGTGCACATGACGAGGCAGAGAAAGTAACCGTGTGTTGCGGTTGCAGCCGAGAAAGGAGGCTGGTTCGGCAGCGCTGGCAGATCATTATTGCGTTTTCTGGGAAGATATTCGAATTAAGAAGGACAGCACAGAATCAATTGGCCTTTCTACCTCCTTGTTGCGTCCAGAAACCCGCTGAAACAGCCCTGTGATGATAATAAAATGTAACTACCTGGCACGGAGCAAGCTACAGAAAACTGCGGGATGAATTTGATGCCAAGCCGGAGGTCACAGTCACATGACCATGCATACTGGGCAATGGTCTTTAGAAGCATCCCGGCAGTTACATTAGCTTATTCATAGTGTATATGAAAAAAGAGCTGTCGTTCATAAGAAGATCGATTCGGCATATGTAGTTAGTGTTCACATTTTAGATCATGGACATATAGGGAATTTGCAGAATCATTGGCTGTTGTCACGTGATATAAAACATCGGGATGTGTCCAACTAGACGTGAAAGATACAAGACGCATTCAGACATCAGTATTGTTAAACGAGGAACTACTAGTAGCTCGATCATATTCAGTGTATCTTCAGTCTTTCTACATACATCATTGTTGTTGTCGGTGGGGAGTGGAAAGCTAGGTCAAGCATAGCAGTACTACTGTTATTAGATTTGTTTTGCAGTACATTATGGATCCTTAACTAGCACCTAGTAAGTCACAACGAAGTCGCTTGGTGACCTATAGTAAGAATACCATTTGGCTATTTAAAAGTGCACATTAGTACACTATGCTTTTGTAGGCTCTTTGAAGTTCACCTGGTTTTTCAGGTCTTCTTTGCCATGCTTGTCTACGGTACATACATTTTACACAATCACTCCTTCAACGCACATAACATGGTATGTATCTAATATACCAGAGGATACTATTAGAATAACTTGAAACAACATACTACAGTACCTTCATTGCGAAATGTTGGGGATCTCATGGAATGACTACTAAATTGAACCAGTGAACATGTTCAGGTTGGCAAAATCGTCAAACCACTGACACCAATTTAGATATGCCCTGAGACGTCTGTTACCATCCAAGCGCCACCTATGATTGAAATGCCTTAAAAATGAAGAGAATAGCGGGTGATAGGAACCATACTTGCATCCTATTTTCTTACGGTATATAGGTTTCTAAAAACGTATGGTATATATAATACATGGTCCGATGATGATAGGCCCTCTGGGCAGGATAAGAATTCTCAAGCATTAAAGATATAATGATAATATAGCGAATAGGGCTCGAACACACTATCAGATCAGACCCAAAAAATTAGATAGCCATGCAAGACTAATACATGTTAGACTTTTCCTTATCTTCTAGATCCTCGCTAACTGTCTAGGAATCAACCAACTGCCGGCGATACGCATTGTCGGCTCGTCGGATTCTCTTCGCATCGGGCAGCAGTGACACATGGGGTCGAGTCCGGGCCGGTATAAACCCAGTGCGGTGTATTTCAATACGGCCCGTTAGGCTAGAGGAGAAGAAGAAGAAGAAGAGGAAGACGCAATTAGCGGTTGTGATGCCGATCTCTACCCTTATTCAGAGTTTCTTGCTTCGGGTAAGCCCCAAGAGTGAGACGATGCGGGCCTCATTTCGTGAACCCTGTCGATCTGCCCTGCCAACAAATTCGAAATTCTTTTGTACTGTGGTGATTGGTTTTCTCTGTTGCATGTGGAGGAATTAATCCTGGTTGGAATGTCAGTATTGCATTGTGATCTGCGGTGGAGGGGTTGGAAATAAATGATCTGAATGGCATGACTAAGCTGACCGGGGACACAAGTTCACGAAAACATTTAATTGTGCACTCTCCCTTCCCCCGAAGGTACAGAACGCAGGTAACGAGGCTCCTTCTTTGCTCATTTGGTTCCTGACATGCCTAGAAAGCATAGCACTCAGAATGATTATAGGTACTACTATGCCAATGCACTTGTGGTTCGATATAGGCTCTGATTAGAACTACCGCTTCGGAATCAGGCAATTGTGAAACATGAAAAGATTCTTTTGATTGGCAATTAACTATTATAAAAGACACAGGTGTTCTCTGCTCCTCATATCAGTCTTCAACATCTTCACAACATAATGTCAGAGAATATACTTATGCTACACTGATATTAGATACAGGCTGCATTGTGAATGCCTTATAAAGAAGTTCCCTTCTATCATGCAAAAGCCCAGAAGAACCAACGTTACCGGAATGTTCTCAAAGTGGAAAGAAAGAGGCATTATCAAGGGATGAAATGGGGGGAAAGAACAAGAAAGACGAAAAGTACACCGCTAAGCGCCACCCTATGACAGCAAGAGTGAGATTAGAAAGGAAAAAAGTAAAAGACAAAAAAAGAAAGAAAAAAAGAGGAAAGGAAAGGAAGAAAGAAAGCAATGAGGTGAAAGGAGATCAACGGCCTAAGAGGAAAGTCCGCTGACAGCTAGGAAATTGCACAGACTGGCACAGGCATCGGTCAGTGTCTTCTCTGTCTTCCACTGCAGCTCCTCCTGTGATCTGGTGGCCACAGCAACGCAGGAACCGACATCGCCCGCGCGGCGGTCAGCAGCCCTTCTTGGGATTTCCTTGGAAGACACACTCTCCATAGTATTCACCACCTCCATTACGGAATGACCTGTACCGGTTCCGAGGTTGAATGTGCGGAAGTTTTCCTTGAGCTTCCCTTCGTTGGCAGCACTGAGAGCTGCGATATGTCCCCGAGCCAGATCGGTGACGTGGATGAAGTCACGAACAGCTGTGCCATCTTCCGTGTCCCAGTCGGTTCCAAACATCTGCAGCTCCTTGTACTGTCCAGTCATGACCTTGACGACAACTGGAAGAAGGTTGGTAGGTATTTGCTTGGGATCTTCACCGAGAAGGCCAGACTCATCGCACCCAACTGGGTTGAAGTATCGTAGAGCCACGATTGTCCACTCTGGATCGGAGGCAGCGAGGTCTGATAAGATGGCTTCGCAGATCCATTTCGTGCGTCCATAGGGGTTGGTGATGCCTGTGCATCCAGGCTCCATGAGCTTCTTGGAGCCGTCACGGTCTTCGAAGATCTCATCCTTGTGAACACAAAGCTCTTCTTTGAGGGGAAGACCGGAGGTTGCCAGAGTTCCGTATACGGTGGCGGACGATGAGAAGACGAAGGTTTTGATACCAAACTCACCCAACGTCGTGGCAAAGTCGATGAGACCGCTGACATTGTTTGCGTAGTACTTCAAAGGATTCCTGATACTTTCCTCAACCGCCTTGTGGGCAGCAAAGTGGATGACGCCGGAGATCTTGGTCTTTGGTGTACCCCATCTGGACTGGATTTGATATTGCTCAAGAAGTTTGCGAAGAGCAACACTGTCGCGGTAATCATGGGCATGCAGATGCATCTCGGGCATTTTAGTTCCTTGTTGCTCATGGTGCTTTGAAGCCAGGAGTTTGATGCGATCGAAGACGTTCTGGAAAGCATTGCTAAGGTTGTCGATGACGATTACGTTATAATTGGCCTTGAGTAGCTCCAATGTTGTGTGACTTCCAATGAAACCGAGCCCGCCGGTGACGAGGATGTATTGATCCAGGGGGAAGTTGCGCAGCAACTCTTCAAGATTTCCATCGAACAAGACGGATGACTGCGTCGCTGGTGTATCGACGCATTCTGGAGAATAAAGCTCCACGGGAGTACTTGCGTCAGACTGTCGGGGACTCTCCATTATTGGATGGTTTTATGAAACGACGAAGTGCAATGAAAGTTGAATGAAAGAAGAGAAGCAAACAGACAGTGTTCGAGCAAACACAAAGCAACTACCGGAGTAAACGAGAGGGGGATTGAGTGTTGCTCAGGGAGAAACAACGAGTGTGAGTTGACTTCCGAACCGAATAGGCAAGGAAAGAAAGGAAAGCACAAATTTTATACTTCCTTGAATGGAAGAAGAGACACTGCCACTGGTTCCGATGTAACCGCCGATTCCAGCTAAGGTCAGGCAAAGGATATGGTGACGGGGCTTTTTTCTTGTCTTTCTTGCTTTCTTTTTTT